TCCAACCCTTAGGAGGCTGAGGCACAAGGATAAAGAAGTCAAGGGTAGTTTGGGCTACATAATGAGACCCTCTTATAAAATAACAGAAACAAAAATAGTTAAAAGAACTTTTAAAAACTACATATTTTTGGGTTTGTTTTTTTTTGTGTGTGTGTGTGTGTGCATGCACATGTGCCATGCTTTGAATGTGAGGGGGCCAAAGGACAACTTGAGGGAATTGATTTTCTCTACCTTATGGGCTCTTGGAATCAAACTCACGTTATCAGTCTTAGTGACAAGTACATTTACCTGCTGAGCCATCTTGCCAGGCTCACAGCCACGTGTATTCGTTTGTTTCTTCCTCTCATTTTTTGTGTGTGGGTGTCTTGCCTGCATTGTATGTGTCTGCACTGTATGCATATCCGGTACCCTCGGAGGCCAGCAAAGAGTGTCACATGCCCTGAACAGGACTTACAGGTAGTTGTGAGCTGCCATGTGGGTTAGAGGAACTGAATGGGCTCCTTTGGAAAAGCAGTCAGTGTTCTAACCCGCTGAGCCATCTCTTCAGCTGTTTTTTTTTTTTTAAATCTATCCATCTATCTCACCTGTCTATCTGTCTATCTATCTCTATTTATTTTTGAGGCAAGGTCTGACTACTCAGCCTTAGCTGTAGAACACTGCGTAGACCAGGCTGGCCTAGAACTCCGAGATCCTCCTGTCTCTGTCTCTTGAGGGCTGGGGGGTTAGCTGTTGTTACTAGGCTGTCTTGCCTCATCATCCATGGTATCATTTTTACTTACTAATTGTACCTTTTCCTACCTGTCGCAGGAAGGAGTTTTTTGATGGCTGTAAAGCAATAAGTGCAGACAGCATTGATGGGATCTGTGCACGGTTCCCTAGCCTCTTAACAGAAGCCAAACAAGAAGATAAATTCAAGGATCTCTACCGGTTTACATTTCAGTTTGGCCTAGACTCTGAAGAAGGGCAGCGGTCACTGCATCGTGAAATAGCCATCGCCCTGTGGAAACTAGTATTTACCCAGAACAATCCTCCTGTATTGGACCAGTGGCTAAATTTCCTAACAGAGAACCCCTCGGGAATCAAGGGCATCTCCCGGGACACTTGGAACATGTTTCTTAACTTCACTCAGGTGATTGGCCCCGACCTCAGCAACTACAGCGAAGATGAGGCCTGGCCGAGTCTCTTTGATACCTTTGTGGAGTGGGAAATGGAGCGAAGGAAAAGAGAAGCGGAAGGGAGAGGTGCACTCAGCTCAGGGCCCGAGGGCTTGTGTCCAGAGGAGCAGCACTGAGGATCTGCCTGCTGCCCTGCAGCCAAGTGAGGAATTGGACCTTTCTGGAAATTACTGAAGATCCGGATATTTTCTACTTTACACCTTTCTCTGCCTTGTATTTGAAAGGGCTCTAAAATGCTGTATCATGTTTTAGGCACTTTCTTCATTTTTTGGTTATTTTGGTTATTTCTTTTTTGGGCGGGAAATCCCCCAAAATATTTGAACCTGGCTACATGTTGTGTACCTTTTTTTGAAGCCTTCAGATAGAATAAGCCTGCCATTTCTTGCACAAATTTATTAGATTTGTTTTGTTTTTGTTGGGGAGGGTGTAGGCCCGGGTGGGGAAGTGGGACTGTTAGGTTGAATTAACATTACAAAATGATACAGTGCCAGATCTCAGTTTTGCATATGATTTTTCAGGGCAGGTCTGTACTGTGTGTAGTGCTGTTTACATGGTTGACTTTAGGTTGTAATAATTATTTTAAAATTTTACACAGATATGAATAGCAGTGTTAACTGTTAGCCACATTGCATTAATTTCCAGACAGTTGGGAGCTCTTGGAGAGCCAGAGCCAAGGCTAGTCAAGAGCATTTGCAGTCTGATGCCCCACCCCATCCCTTTAAGCTAATTTATCCAAAGCCCTTACCTCCCTCACTTCTTGCTCATTCCTTCTTTGACCTATTGCATTTCATATTTAATTTATCCATCACCATGCTGTACCTGTCAGTCAAGTGAGCAGTTTTGTTTTGTTAGAACACATTGTACTGAAAACCACTTAAGCGTTGAATGCAGAGAAAGCAGTGCTACCTCAGTTTTGCTGGAAGTAGACTTCTTTGATAGTTTTCTTTGATGTTTTTGTATTTTCATGTCATAAGTGGAAATACTGTTTTGTTTTGTTTTTTTCTTTTTCTTTTTCATTTGCCTTGGAGCCAAAGTTTCCGTTCCGGGTGGTGAGAAAAGTGTGTCTGCCGGCCAGCTGACCTAAAAGAAAGCTATGGCATGGAACTCTGCTTCAAACTGTTTTGGTTTTTTTTTCTTTAGTTTTTGTTGAGTATCATCAGCTTACTTGTCTGGCAAGTTGCAGAAGCCCGAGGCTGGCCTGAACTCTGCCAAACCAATGATCTGAGTGTACTGAATCATTACATGTGTGCCCCCTCCCTCTTTGCTGCGCCCACGTTGTCACTTACCCCCCAGGAGTTATTTATTCTCTTTTTGTTAATGTCGAGCTCATTTGGGGTAATGTGATGACTGTTTAGGTTTACATGACCCTCCTCTCCTTCCCTTACCCCAGGTATGTATATATACATATATAAGATATGTATATATTTTACCTTTATAAAATATATATATACACATATATGTATCTATATCCCTTTATTTGTCTGCTAAAACTGGCCATAAGAGGGAGCTGCCTTTGATCTGTAGTTTAAGAAGATGCCAGGGAGTGTCATAAATGGAGGCTATTGTATATGAATTTGGACATTTTCACTAAAGAGAACTTGAATGAATTTGCCTGCAGGAAGGAGGAACCAGTTCTCTAGACTCTGCATGTTCACTCTGCAAGGCCAGCTTTGGTCAAGCTGCCACCAGGGCCTGAGGAGCTGACTCTGTCCTACCTAGTTCCACTAGAGGACCCTCTTGATAATTTCCCATTAAGAAATATCCTCAAAAAATTGTACTGGAAGGTGGGTGACAGGAGCTTGTACAGTTCAGCTTCCAACACTTCGGAACAGATTAAAAAGGGAATCTTTTAATAAAAGTTACAAAAATATTTATACTCTTGATACAATGAAAAATGTCTATTAAATATTTGGAATTTTCTCCCTTAATTAGTCTACCCCAAATCCTGGGTATATGTTTCTCGCCATGGGCTAGAGTTGCATGCTTTGAGTTCTTTACGAGTCTTACAGCTCTGGGCTCCTATCTTTATAAAGATGATTATTTAAGGAGATGACAGTCCTATTTCCTAAAATTGGTATTGACACGGAGCATTTTTGTAGGCCTGACAATTGTCTTTTCTTGAGGGACAGATGAAAAACCTTAAAGTCAGCCACAGACTTAAGATAGTGTGCTTGAGGCCGAAGAGGCTGTTGGGCCAGATGTTGCTCCTTTCTTCTAGCCATAGTAAGACAAAAGTCCTTGAGTAAGTATCCAGGGGCCCAGCAGTTTCCCAGGGCATAGCTACACTGCAGCCTTTGGGGAAGATCTCATCCAGCCAGTTGTTCCGAATTCTGAATTAGGTAGAAGTCCAATGAGGGAAGAAGTAGCGGAGTGTTCTAGGGGAGACTTTGTGCCCCAGGTAAGAAAGGGTGTATGTGCAGGGAAGTGCCAGGAGAGGGAGGCAGCCAAGGGCCCCATGGACTCAAGGATCTACTAGATTCCTTCCTCACTGGGTAGATTTTAACTGACTGCTCAGTTTCTCCAACCCCAGTCATTTAGAAATTATTTGTGATTGTATTTTTAATGACCTGTTGTTGAGAAACCAGAGACAGGAACAGTTAGGGACTTGGGCTTCTCAGTGTGGTAGGTTTTGTTGTTTGTTTTGCCAAGAGATTCACAGCGAGGTGTAAGGGTTGTAGTTAACACTTCACTCAGCCTCAGATAGGCTTGCTTCAGCAGTGGCTGGAGGCCAAATGTCTGCCCTCAGGTAGCCAGCTTTGTGACACTGGGGTGATGTAGGGAAGTGCGATATATGGGTGCCATTTTGGAATTCTGCAACATCTAAGCATTACTACACAGAATCTGTTGGGAAACTGCTTACTTTGGGCAAGTGGCTTTTTGAGTTTCCATGGTGTTTCTTTAGTAATTTATTAGCAAGCTGGTATGAGATAAAGGGTTGCTTTACTGACTTCTTTCCCCTAGCCTTGCCAAACTTGAATGTATCATTCTTAATGACACTTTGCTGTACTTCTAGGGGTTGCCTCAGCAGCTCTCTTTACTGTGGCAGATGTGCCAACATGTGTGTGGATGGGTCCAGAAGTTTGTATGTACCCATTTGATAAAGAAAAAAATCTCCAGAGCTGGCTGAAAATTCAAATTTCAGTCAAAGCTTTGGGCTAAGGGAAAGATACAAGAAAATGTGCAAAGCAGTATTGTTCATATTGGATGGACACAAAGTAAAGAGTTAAGCTGCACACAGTATTAGCTTGAAACAGTACTGTCTCCTAGGGCCTGCTCTTCAGGCCAGATCAGGTCATGGGACCCCATAGATTATGTACTTGGACCACTGGTGGGAAGTTGCTGAGATAAAAGACTAGTCCAAAAACGAATGAAGCAAAAGACCTGTACATTGGAATGTATTGTTTGCTATATTTCAAGTGGGGTCTTCAGTGCAGCAGGTAGACCCAGTTATACAGTTACATAAGGAACAGAAAGAAAACTACTGTTAAAAAGTGCCCCCACCCTCCACTTTCTTTAGACTTCTTATTCTCCTGTGTATGTTAGGATGGCTAGTGATGACCTGAACAACTTGGTAACTGATAAAGGTCTTACTTGGAGGACTCAAGCAGTATTTGGCTTAAATACTTGAAAGGACAAAATTATCAAAATATGTCAATTAGGGCTTTTTAAGGACATGTGACATTGATCCTCCCTTCTGGGTCATATAGAGGGGAGGTTTTTGCCACTTCTCTTCAGAGTACATTCCAATGTTAAGCTGTAATAGTAGCCCATACCAGTTGGCCCAGGACTACATGCTGGGGATGGTCCCCCCCCCCCTTTTTTAAAAAAAAAAAAAAAAAAAAGAATGATGCTTGAGCATAGGATGCCGATGCTGAGATGGTTTGATTAGCTGAGTAATCAAGTTCTGATTCATTCTAGTGTTGGAGTGGTGTGTTCTGTTTCTCTTGGAAACCCAGCCTGCTCTCAGATACCTACTTCCATCACATATCTTGAACATTGCCAAGAGAAGCCATTCAACAGCTGTTCTTTTTCTCTCAGCACAAATATATTTGCTATAGAAGAAGTATCCTCCCTCTAATACTGATCCCCAGTCCTCAGAATCTGATTAACTGCTCTTCCCTGCTGCACTGAGTATATGGTTCTAGGTTTTAAAGAGGGAATTTGAAGCAATAGGTAAACAGGGCTTGATTGAATTGGTCTCATATATATCCTGTCTTAAGCCGATGAGGTGATGAGTCCACTGCTCATGTGACCCTCCACCGTTGTGGATCCCTCTTGGTTTGTGACCAGCATATGTTTCTTGAGGTTGTACAAACTTGACAAAAGTTAATACTTTTGTATTCTCTGCACTGTTGCACTCTCAAATAGCCCCTTGAATAGTAACTTGATATACACATTTTTGTCTTTGATGTCTACAGTATTTTTTTTGTTTTTGTTGTTGTTTTTAATTTGAAGGTTATCTGCTGTTGGATTCAATAAATTTGTTTACCTGACTATTGATATTTCTGCAGAAAACAAAAACCAGTGAATTTATTCTGAGGCTTAAGTTATCCACTTTTCCTATGATGCTGTGATCTACTAACAGCTTGGGAAAATGACCCATATAGGATAGGAGCCCAGCTCCAGCCAAACACAGGTAATAATCTCCATACACTGTGAATGTTTATAAGCCTACTATTGAAATCATCTTTCTTACCTTAAGTAACTCAATTCCCATGAGAAAAGTCAAATCTTGAGCCCTGTGTATGACCCCCTAGGTCTATTCAGACTTGCAGTGATTAAGCTCATCTTTTATTCATCTGCAAAATAAAGGCATCTCCACCAGGGTTAGGGTTTAAGGAAAAGTTTATGAGACACCCATGATACCTCATGGTGCTCAACCATCCCCTATTAAGATTCTCTAAAATAATGTTAGGTACACTGGGGGGCAGGAGCAGAGTTTAGTGTGTGGCATGACATTTGATCCTTTATCACTCATTGCTCCCTAAAAGGGCTCAACTTTCTATTGTGCCAAATTGGGAGAGGAAAAATTGTAACAGGAACTCTGAGACGGCCATCAGCTTCTTAAGTTCTAGACTTAAGACCCTTAGTTCCTTTCTTGTATTTTCTGGTTGTCTGTTCAAGAATGGCACTGGTCAGCCATCTTGCTCATTTCTTTTGTGGAAGTGCTGATGGTTCCTCAAAGGTTCCTAGCCTCTTGGTAACTCTTAAAATGTAAGTGCAGGATGGTGATCAGATAAGCCTTTTCAGTTGGAAAGGGCTTAGTAAGCATGATATTCCTGAGAAAATGTGTAGTTTTACCCTTGTTCCACACTCCTCCCATTGACTCCTGGGTTTGTCCTTTTTAATAAGCACAGAAGGAACCTACAGATTGGAGAGTAGCAGAGTGGAATGGAAAATAGCCAACTAGGGTGCTGTTAACAGTGCTGTATGGATTATAAGCAGATATTAAATGATTGGCAAGTCATTGTTATACAATTACCAGATGAGCATTGTTTGCATGGACTTCTACTAAGAAAGTATACTAAAAAGTAGTCCAGAGGGATAGAGAAGAGTCTCTTTAATCAAGTTGTGTAAAAACCTCCAGTTGCCTTTTCCTGTGGCGTTGCCTTTTTCCTGCTCCTCAGACAGCTGCCTTGGCAGTTCAGCATTGGCTGCTAGAAGGGTGTGGGAGGAACAATGCACAAACGCACTTATGAATGGAATGTGTGTTTTGCAAGAGGCCAAGTTGGCAGCTTTAGTTTCCAAAAGGTGGGACATCAGCTGGAAGAACACAGTGTGCAGAAGTCTCAGAGGTTTGAAGGCTAGGTCCATTTAGTTCTGTAGTGGGGGCCCAGGGGGAAACCCTCATCCATGCTGAAGAAGATAACCTTGCCCAGTTCAGAACGCCTTAATAGCTTCTTGCAACACTTTGCAAAGGCCACTAATGCTTGCTACTTACGCACTACTCATGCTGGACTTTTGGTACTTAATCTTCCTACCAACCATGAAGTAGGTACTGATTTCCCCATTTTAAATGGGGTCTTAGGAAAATAGTTCCCAGTCTACTACTATTCTTGAGATTTTTCATGAGCTAGATCTTTGAAGTCTCATAATTCTTAAAAGTAGGTATTTCTTCAACTTACACAGCTGTGGAAATGGACTCAAAATGACCCAAATACCCAGCAGCAGAACTGAAGTTCTAACCCACACTTTTCCATGTCCATTAGAGGGACTGTCTTTCAGGACAGAAGCCTCAAAAGGTAGATCTCAATTGAAGCCCACTGCTTTAGAGCTCAGCTGGAAAGGAAGCTCAAGTGGGCACAAGTTTCCTCCTGACAGAAGAACTTCAGGAAGCAGTGTGTTGATGTCAAATCAAACTCTAGTGCTTGGTTCCACTTATGGTCCACTCTTATGGAGGCTTCATTTAAGGGCTGAACACTGCCCTATGTACCCAACCCTAAATTTTCAGAATTATTTCTTTCCTAACTATAAAAGTAAGTAATAATGCTGAACTGCTTTCTTTTGTTGTTGTTTTGTTTTTACTGGAAGCAGGGTCTCACTATGTAGCCTTCAGTGGCTTGGAACTCACTACATAGACTGGCCTGGCTTTCAAACTCAGAGCTTTCAAACTGGAGACCTGCCTCTGTCTCCAGAGTGTGTGCACCACCAAGCCTGCCTGCTTTTTGTTTGTTTTTTGTTGTTGCTGTTGTTTTCTTTTTTAAAATAGAACCTTCCATTAAAGCATTTTGTAAAACATGATTTGCCAGTCCTACTAATCAGAGAGAAATACTGTTAACATCTTGGCATACAACATTCCAGGCTTGGTTCCAATCCTATGCATAGCTTTGTACATTTCCCCTATGCAACAGGAATCAAAACTATAATACTGTTCTATAGCCCTATGCACACACATGCATGACTATGAACTCAACTTCATTTATCTCTATGGTAATTCTGAGAGCCAAGTGTGCTGACAAATGGCTTTGATCCCAGGAGGCAGACAGGTAGACCTCTGAGTTTGAGCAGTCTACATAGTGTTCTAGGACAGCCAGGGCTACACAGTAAGGCCCTGTTTCAAAAAGCCAAATACTAATTCTATGAGATACTAGCATCTCTGTGCCTGGACTAATAATATTTAACTTAAGTTGAGCAATAACTTAAAAAGTTGGGATTAGAAGGGGGCACATGTGCACAGCACACTCATCACTTTGTGCACTTTTTGGTACAAGCATCTTATCTTCAGTTCTTCTGATGGAATTTGTAAGATCTGAGTGTAGAAAGGAAGATTTTAGGTGTGACTGACAGATTAGTTGACTTCCTCTGGAGCAGATTTGCAACCATGGACCTGTGTCTCATCTTCCAACAATGTTACTAGTTAGTCACATTAAAACATCAAAACTGGCGTTTCCAAGTGCTGCCCTGGTGTGATGGCGACACCTGCTGGTGAAGAGTGATGCTGCAGCTGTAGCAAAGGAAGGAGGGATTCCCATACATGGAAGTGGGTTCTAACTATAAAAGCTAAGTCTTCCACTGTCTTTGCTCTGGCCAGATGTATAGCAGATGCCAGAGAATCAAAAGTGTCTCCAGACAAGCTGGCTGGATTTTCTTTTCTTGGTCTTTGCAGTATATGCCATTTTAATGGCAGTACTACAGCAATCAATCAGTATCTGTGTAAATAAACTCAAGATACAAAACACTCATTTTCCCTCCTCCTCATGTCTTAAGAGGAAGAAATGTTTTGAGTTTTAGGCATTTATTGAAATTTTTCACATGACAATATACTTCAGCTGGTATCCCAACTTTTTACCATAGCTGTCTGCTAGATGGAAAAGCTTGTCACCCTCTTGAAGGGGCTGTAGCCTAGTCACATTCTCTATATGGGAAAGTGTGGGGAGACTCACACTCCCAGGCCTGGGATGTCACTTTCTTCCTCCTTTATTTTCATCAGTCCTAAGCCAGGGTGTGATCCAAAAGTGCTGCAATAAAGAATGAAGGCATGTTTTTATTTAGAGGGCTAAATGAATGGCTGTACGCTCCTAAGACAAAGGACGTAAGGTTTTAAGTAAGTGTGTACAATACACCAAGAGGCAGGTTCATGGAAAGCTGCCTGCTGGAGTGGGCTCAGTGAAGAAGCCTGATTCAAATCCTAGAGATAGATGGATGACACATTTCAAATAAGCCTCATTTTCCCCCCTTAACTATAAAATTCTAAAACATTTAAGTTACTAAGCCACTAAGGCTTAGAGAAGCATAGTAATGACTAGTATTTTCTGGGCACTTCTTACAAATCAAGTATGGGCAGTTTAAATACCTGTCTCTTTAATCCTTAAAAGCAGCTCAGTGATACAAATGTTCAGTCCATTTTCTAAGCAAAGAAACAGACTCAGACATAACTCGTTTAAGTCATACTGCAAGGAACAGCCAGGTTTCAGTAATGAAATGTGTCCTCAGAGTCCTTAGAAAGTGGGGTTAGTATTTCGCTTTATTTAAAGACTTTGTTAGTGCATCTGAAAACTTTATACTATTACTTAATTAATGATGCATGCCATTAAAAGTGCTTACAACTGAAGAGGCATCGGATACCTCTTAGTTTACTGCCACCTTTTGTGAATATGCATGGGATGGATTAAGAGAGCTAAAGGAGCTCTTGGAGGCAAGGAAGGCAGAAAAGGAGCAGAACACAAACTGTTAGGCTGCTGTCTAACAAGGACTAACCTTTAATGAATGGCTCTGGAGTCAGATCATTATGGTTCTAAGCGTGAGTAGTTACACTTACTAGTTGTGACCTTGGAAAATTGCTTAAAAAGAGTCATTACCTTTGGCTTAATAAGGATTCTAAGAATTCTGACCCAAAGTCTATGTACGTAGCACAATACTTGCTTATTAAGGGTCTGACAGATTCCCACGTGCCAACCCAGTCTAGTGAGTCTCCTGGACCCTTGCCTGCCTGCACCACACCAGACCCCTGGGCCTAGACTAGATAAAACATCCTGTGCACTGGCCCAGTCTGTTGAGTCCCCAGGACTCTTGCCTGTTTGTGCCATCCTCCATTGCCTAGCCATCCTGTGTCCTAGCCAAGTAACCTGAACTGCACCTGGCTGCCATGTTCCTAATCCTCAGGCCCAGCTTTAGTTACATAGCTTATACTCTGGCGAGTATACACAGCTTAGCCTGGTAAGTACCCAGGACCCTGGCTTACCCAAATAGAACAGCTTGCACAATAGCCATCCATCCTGACCAGCTTGCCAGGCCAGCTTTTACAATAGCCATCCATCCCATCCACATTTCTTGCTTACCACTGAATTGGAATCACCCCTGTTTGTCGAATCCAAAATCAACATTGAGTATCTGAAGGATTAACTACCAATTCTTGATACCTGATCTGAAATCAACCAAGCTTGGGCAATAACAAAACCAAAACAAAACTTCCAATCAACAGAGGCAGCCTAGAATCCGACATACAGCCAACAAACAATGTGACCAAGTCACATTGCAAAATACAAATATGAAAGGCCAAGACATTATGTCTCTTTCATAACTCACTAGCCCTATAGAATTGTTCTCCAGTAAAAACTACCTAGATGAATTCCAGGACACAATTTAAAAGAACAATTATAAACATCAATGAATCCAAAAGCTTAAAGAAGACAAGAGGAAATAACTCAATGAACTTAGGAGGATAAGAATAAATCCAAGAAAACATAAATATGTGGCTGAATGAAATGACAAGACAGTTCAAGATCTGAAAATTACTGAATTTAGTAAAGAGGTAGATATAATGAAATTGCAAAACTCAATAACCCAATTAGAAAACTCAGGAAAGCCCTAGCAGTAGAATGGATCTAGAAGACAGAATATTCGGATTTGAAGATAAAGTATAGGAATCAGGGATGGAGAGAGAGCTCAGGCATTGTGAGCACTCACTGCTCCTGCAGAGGACCCATGTTCAGTTTTGGTTCCCAGTGCTCACATCAGGTAGCTTAGAACTGCCTGTAACTACAGCTCCAGGGGTTCCGCTGCCCTCTTCTGTCCTCCAATGCAGTCAAACTCGTGGCATATACATACACAAACTCATGTATATACACATGAAAATAAAAAGAATTGGACCACACTGGCAAAGAAGATGAAGAATTAACAAAACTACATGAAAGGTATCCAAAAAATTGTGAGACACCATGAAATGACAAAATCTGGCCATGTGTGGTGTCGTGCCTTTAATCCCAGCAGCCAGGGCTATGTAGAGAGAACCTGTCTCAAACAAAACAAAAAACAAAAAGGCCAAGGCTACAACTTATAGGTACAGATGAGGGACTGGAATCCTAAGTCAATGGCACAGACAAGAACTTCAACAAGACCATATAAGAAAACTCCCCTAAATTAAGGAGATATTACTTAAACTATCATTTGTACTACAACATCTCCTAGAATATCAGAATCTTAAGATATTTTTTACTTTTTGACACAGAACTTTATGTAGACCACAGTGGCCTAAACTACTTATGTAGCTGAGACTGGCCTTGAACTTTTTTCTGCTCTATCTCCCAAGTGCTGAGATTATAGGTGTGCACTACTAAACCCAGTTTTTATGATATGTTTAAGAAACAAAACAATTTGAGCTGGCAAGATGGCTCAATGGGTAAAGGCATTTGCCAGTGAGCCTGATAATTTGAGCACATGTATGCACACCCCCACACAACAGATAAATGAATAAATCTAACAAAGAAAATCTTAGAAAAGGAGAATCTTTCTATATAGTTCTATAATTTTCTAACTAATCCAAAAAGGCCCTTCACACACATACACACATACACTCATGAACTATAATGTATGTTTTAGGATTTAATATTAATTTTTCTTTAAGTAAAATACTTACCATACTTTATGTTTTGAAAGAAATCACTGATTTACTGAAAATCCCTCACAAGAGGATTTTATTTTGAGACATGTTTTCACAATGGACTACAGAACTGGGTTTGAACTCATACTCTTGTTTCAATCTTCCAAATACTGGGATTATAGGTATGACACCACCCATGGGATTATAGGTACCTTTTCCAGCTTAGACTTATGATGGCCACTTGTTAAAAATATATAATAGGAGCTTGAACCAGACCCACACAGCCTATCTCAGTATTTGTTAAGCTTAAAATTAGAATTGAGGAATGGAATTGTCCCTCCAAAGCAGAGATGGCAATGGGGGAAAGAACAGGGAAGTCAAGAACATACTTCTGATATGTAAGGAGGGTAGGCCTGGTCACAGCTGGCTGGGCCAGTGTTGGGATATCTTGTCCTTCTGCTGTCATATGTAGCTCTTCTTATCCAGCTTAGAGGACCTCTGCCTCTGATTTTAAGGTGGGATGAGCTGCATCAGAAGGACCAATAAGTTTAAGCATACAAGTGAAATAGAAATGTAATGTCTACCTTTTGGAACTGTGATGAGAACTCATGTAAATCCTCATTATGTGTCGACATCATTTAACTAAAGGTCTCTTCTTGAGAACAGATGAATTCCAGGGATCAAAATCCCAAGGACAACACATCAAATCCTTACTTCTTAGTTCCCGGCAGCAGGATGAGGCAGAGGGTGCCTGGGCTCAGGCTGTGGTAGAGCTTTTCAATCCTCCGGTCATAGCGCCAGGCTACTATCTTTGGGTGGTTCTCCTTCAGAGTCTAGGATCAAAGTTAGTGTCAACATTTAGCCTCCTGTTCACCTTTAGAGAAGTTAAAGCACTTCCTCTGGTTCTAAAGCCACAAGAAGCTCTGGGAAAAAAATCCCTTTCTGAATAGCAGCCCTCTACAGACCTCAGTGACTTAGGACCTCTGTGGCAGAGAGCAGCTGCTGTTGATTCTTTCAAATGGGTCTTCCAAAAGGGCCCTAAGGTAGGAAGCCATATCACTGATGAGGTTCCCTGCCTGCCTTTGCCATTAAGGGTATCTGTGATCTTGGCTGAGTCACTGACCAGCTCTAATCTCTACCCCTCATCTGCTAAGTATGAGACTACATTAAGGTTTACTAAGCTTTAAACAGCCTACCTCTACTCTCATACATATGCCTTCTTTATACATGCATTCCCTTTAAAATGAGAATTCTGCCTTAGTCTTGCCTAATCTCAGGTCTGATGTTGTACGGTTTAATGTAAGTCCTAAACTTTAGAAGTGGAAATAACAAAAAAAGTCTTGCCAAGACAGCCAAATTTACCTTGTGTATGTATCACACTTTGGGAAGCCCTGAACGAGTTCACCTAAGACTTATCCACCTCTCCAGTCTCCCACCCTGGTCCCTCAAAGTTCCTTACAGAACCACCTTGAAGAATAAGAATGGGATTTTAGTGGTTATTGTCAAAGGGACAAAAGTATTTGAGCTGAGAGAAGAACCAATATGGCTAGGGCTGGAGGAGGCTGGAGAGTGACATAAGATGGGGGCCAGGGCAAGAAAAACAAACCAAGAAAAAGCTTGAAGGATGTAGTGCCAATGAGCAAGTCTTTCCTGGCTATGATCCAGAACCAGAAGTCCAGGGTCCAGAACCAGAAACCCCAGCAGCTACCTTCCCTGCTGACTCCAAAACACACTCATTACCTGAAGACCTGCTTCTCCAAGAGAGGCGGAACTATTCCAAATCCTGAAGGCATTGCTGGTTCAGGATGTATGTCCTTGAGTCATGTCTGGAGGTGCCCAGGGATTAGGGCATATCTGCCTTTCAACTTCCAGTCCTTTCCTTTGAGAATTTCAAGGGCTACCTGGGCACTGTCACGAGTTGTGAACTCTGAAAGTAGGAAAAATCCCAACATTTGTTAATGAGGGCCAAGAAAGCAGATCAACAGATAAGCTAAGGTCTGGCTAAGGTGTGAGAATAGGGTAGATTTAGAAGCTCCACCCTGGTCTACTCCAGGAAAGCTTGTTTGGTGAATCCCTTCTTTGACCTCATTTACTACCATCTATAATCTCCTTCAAGGCTACATTTAATGGTATAAACTTACTCAAAAAACAGTAGTTTTTTTTTTTTTTTTTTTTTTTTTTGCTTTCTGCTTTTAACATCTTTAGGCAGGATCACAGCTTCCAGGTCAGGAAAGAGGCTGGAGTGCTCCAACAGGTGTTCTTTAAAAGTTTTACCTAATCCAGCCACATATATAGTAGCTTGGTTCTCAGAATCTTGCTCTAGCTCATGTAGTGGCCAATTAGGGTTTATTTACATATAGCGATATATATCCACAGCAAGCTCATGCATAAGGGTGTCACACTCAAGGGTGAATTCTGTCACATGCCTGTGCACCTAACCAAGGAAAGATGGTATTAGTGGTACAAAGTCACCATTTTAACTAACCCTCTGTCATGCTGTATATCACTAAGTCAATATGCATCTTTCTAATCTAGAAGGAGGCCAATAAGTGCTTCACAGAACTGATTGTGGATTTAATTGATAAAAAAAATACATACTTTCATATAAATCTATATTCTCCAGTTCCCTGTCTGCTGCCTCCATTGAAATCTTGTTTACTTGTACAAAAAGAACTTCCCAATACCACCATCTCACCCCCTTGAAAGCTAAAGGAATGGGCAGACTCAGAATAGCCACTCACAACAAACCATCCAGGGATAAGGATACTTGATAAAGAATACAATGAAGACCCTAGTCTAGCCAGACAGATTTTTATAAAATTGAAAGTTACTTAGTCTTGACTAAGGGCATTTATTACAATGTCTCATGACTGGGCATCTCCAGGATGTCCCTACATCTGGGCTGTGGTAAACCTCAATTAGATGAAGGGGTCTGCCTCCAGCCTTGGCTCTCTTACCCTGATAAACAACAACCACCACCACAAAAAAAAACAAAGAGTCTGTACTCAAGGATGTCCACTCCAACATTATTTACAATAGGAAAAATTAAAAACACAAACACTCTCAATAATAGGTATACCACACAGTGGAATGTCTTACATATCTTAAAAATAAGAAAAACTATGTAATGACACAGAAGATACATTTTAAATTAAATTAAAAAAAAATAAAGTCGCAACAAGGGGCTAGGGCAATGGCTCAATGGATGAAGTACTTGCTTGAGGACTGAGTTCAGGTCCCCAGCACCCACATGAAAACGTGAGTGTCTCTAATCCCAGTGCTGGCAGTAGAGACAGAATGTCCAAATCAGTGAGCTCCGATTCAGTGAGATACCCTGTCTCAAAAAAAAAAAAAAAAAAGGCTAAAAGTGATAAAAGAAGATATTTAATGATGGCTTCTGACCTTGTCTCTGCCTATGCATGCACAGGCATATGAACCCACCCACCTACATACCTGTACATATATACCCTAAGCACATACACAAAACAAAGTTGCAAAACAGTATACTCAGTCTCATTCCTATTTTTATAAAACATGTTTTTCAAATGTTCATGTATATTGAAATAATTTGGAGAAGTGGATGTGAATTTAATCCCGTGTGCATTACTGTCCTTAATGAAGGAAGGCTGTAAGTTATCACGGTTTAGCAGAACCCACCTACTTACTCTTTGCTTCAGCTCCTCAGCAGAGATGGGTGGAAGGAAGGGTTCAGAAGAGAGCGGCACACTGTTGAAGGGAAACAAAGGGACTTCCACTTGGCTTGCTCAAGTACCTGAAGAGAGCAGACAGCGCAGACCAAATGAGTTAGGAACCCAGTACTACTCAGCTCCCTCAGGGGCCACATAAATATAAACAACTGCCTTTTACTTATACCATAAAGTAGTAGTACACAGCTGACTTGCAGGTCTAGAGAAAAATGGTAACAGCACACAGTCTCCTAGAAAAGCCATTAAATCACTGCTTCTTGGCCTTTCCAGTTTCATATACTATGTTGTCTGTCCAAGAATAACATATGCTAGGAATCTCTGCTGAAGCAGGGAGATGGGAGGGGAGCTTGTTATATCCACTCCATACATCAACCTGGTACTGTAGAACCTCGAACCCTTCTAGGGATATAAGACTTGCTTGCTTTCTAAAGGCAGCTTGCAACAGGGCCCGGAGGCACAGGCTTATAATCCCAACCACACAGAGGCTGAGAATGATAGCAAATTGAAGACCAAGTTATGGATTGAATTCAAGGCCAGGCTGGACAACTTAGTGAGACCTTGTATCAAAATAAAAAGGGCTGGGAATATAGAATAGTGCAACAGCTCTTAACATACATAAGAACTTGGGTTTGACCCTCTAGTATCACATAAAAGCCATGAAGGTAATACATAACACATATGACCCATACTTTAAATATTTCTAAGAGAGTGATTACCACACAACCTTCAAATCACTTGTAAACAAATTCCAAGAGAAGCCTTCATCATTACACATTGCTGCAAGTCAGTAAATAAAGAAAATAAAAAAGGAGGCTTAAGAGAGTCACTGATAGTAGGGTATGTAGTGGGAGGAGAATCAATGTGCCTGAAAGAATTAGATGAACTGTAAATAGAAGCACCCCTAGAAAGAAGAAGTCCAGCCAAATGCAAAGAATGTCACAACTTTGATATTCCATAACACCTGGCTATAAGACCGGTGGCCAGAAAGCAGCATGGAATATACAGAAAAAAGGTAGTGCTCTTTGTAGACGTGTCGAAGATGAAAATAAAAAGGTCAAGTAAAGCTCTTGCAGAGAGAGATGACAAATGCCAACCTTTCCTAACAATATTATAAATTCCTCTCTTCTTCCTAACACCATAAAATTAGTCTCAAACGGGGGCTGGAAAGATGGCTCAGTGGTTAAGAGTACTGACTGCTTTCCCAGAGGACCTGGGTTCAATTCCCAGCATTTACATGACAGCTCACAACTGTCTGTAACTCTAATTCCAGGGGATCTGACACCTTCACATAGACATACATGCAGGCAAAAACACTAATACACATAAAAAAAAAAAAAAACTAAAAAAAAAAAATTAGTCTCAAACAAACAACACCCCCACCCCACCCGCAACCCCAAGTATTGGAAAGCTGAGAGTGGTGGGGTATATGCCTCTAGCCCCAGCCTTGGGAGTCAAGACATGCTAGTAAATGGGAAATAATTTGTGTTCCCATCTCTCTCTCCCTCGGAATCAACAGCGGCTTAATGGGGTGGGGGTGGGGCTTAATGGGATGGGTGGTGGTGGTGGTAACTTCCCATTCCAGAGAGAATTCTCTCTTGGACTGTGTGCCCACTATTCTAGAAAACCTGTGGGCTGCCAGAGAAACTGGTTTCTTCTCATCTGACTGAAGAGCTGACAGAACTAGAGGACTTATTTAGAAATCATTAAGGACAGATTCCCAGGACATACTAGAGATGTGGTTCCCCAGGAAGATGCCGGCCGGGAGGTAAGAGATTATGGGCTGTGAACAAGAGGCAGCAACAAACTGCCAGGATAATTTGAGACAGTTAGAAAGGTACAATTCCAGGCAACGCAAATCTTGAGTTGTGTAGGGGTGCTGCATGAAGCAGTCCAGAAAACCAGTAATCTCTCTCTCTTTTTGTGAATGTATGTGTGTATATATGTTTTCATGTTATGGTATGTATGTGTGCAGGTGCATGTACACGCGTGTGCATATTGGTGTGGAGGCCTGAGGTTGATATTAGGGTGTCTTTCTCAGTCATGTTGAGGCAAGGTATTTCACTGAACCTGGGGCTCTCAGTTTCAGCTAGTCTGGCAAGTCAGCATGCTCCAGGCATCTTTATCTCTGCCTCTCCCCATGTCCCACTAGGACCACTTGGCTTTTCCATGGTGTTCTGTCACCTTTTATCTTCAGTTTGACGTAGCCTATAGTCATGAGAGGAAAACTGTGAGCATGTCTGGAGAATAGTCATGCCAATTCCTGTAGGAGGGCCCAGCACACTGTGGGTGACACCACTCCTTGGGCTGGTAGTCCTAGCATATATAAGAAAGCTAAACATGAGCTAGAGAACACCAGCAAGAAACCTTCCTCCAGGGTTTCTACTTCAGGTTCCTGCCCTGACTTCTCTCAACAATAGACTAGAACCTGTAAACTGAAATACAAAATCACCTTCCTTGGGTTATTTTATGTCAGAGTCTTTTATCATAGCAAAAGAACAACACTATACTACAAGAATCTGGGAATCTGAATCCTGGCAATTACATTTGTGTGGCAAGTGCTTTATATGCTGAGCCATCTCCTCAGACCAGAAATGTTTGTTTTTTCAAATGTCTAAGTCTCAGTAGTAAAATCACAAAGCATACAAAGAGACAAGGAAACTTAGCCTAAGTAAACGAAGAAAATGTAATTCCATAAAATGAATCTGGAGATATATGAAGACCTGTGAATGTCTGTCTTCTGAGTGCTGAGATTACACCACTGTGTTAAGCTCCAGGTCTCTAATATAAAATGGCATGGTATTTGCACTCTTGATCTATATAGACTTTCTTGCATACCTTTTGAGTTCCCATCTCTAAGATTTACTTCTATTATTTAATATAAAATGACATAATATTTGCATTTGATTTCTTGTATACTGAGTTACCATCTCTGGAGGACATATTATTTAAGAGAATATACATGCTGTGTAAATAGTTTTTCTACTGCACTGTTAAGAAACAGTAAGAAAGAAAAAGTCTGCACATGTCCAGTTATTCTTTTCCTTATTATTTCCAAGTCATGGTTGGTTGACTCCATGGATATGAAAACTGCACACTTGTAAGGCGAATTATAACGGTCTAAAAGATGCTTAAAGGGCTGAAAGAATTGTTATAAAGATGCTTGAACCCTGATAACTAACTAAATCATGAAAATGATACATTAACAAATGAGAATATCAACAAAGAAAAATGATTAAAAAAAACAATGTTCTGGATTGGAAAATTAAAAAAAAAATAGCACTGCAAAATTATACTGGAATGGATTTAATCAAGCAGAAAAGAAAACATCAGTGGTCTTAAAAACAGGTCATTTATAATGATTGAATCAGAGGTCAAAAGATAATAAAGAACAATTGAGGTGAGCTTAAGGGATTTATGTGACACTATCAAGAAACTTATAAGACACTATTAAACAAATGCAATTGTCTAACTGTATTATCTTATGGCCATCCAAAAGCTGTACACAGATATTCTAGCAGCTTTCTCCATAAGTGTTAAAACTTATAAACAATCGGCTATCTCTCTTATCAGTGGGTGAATGAACAGTATAGTATTATTCAGACATTAAAAACAGAAACCAGGGCTGGAGAGATGGCTCAGTGGTTAAGAGCACTGGCTGCTCTTCTAGAGGACCCAGGTTCAATTCCCAGCACCCACATGGCATCTCACAGCTGTCTGTAACTCCAGTTCCAAGGGAATGGACATCCTCACACAGACATACATGCAGGAAAAACACCAATGCACATTAAATAAATAAATCATTTTAAAAAACCATTAAAAGCACTGAAAAGACATGGAGGAAATAAGTACATTTCTAAAAAAAATAAAACAATCTAAAAGGTGTCCTGATATGATTACAACTATATGGTATTCTGGAAAAGGCAAAACTATTGAGCCAATGATTTCCAGTGGTTTCTAGAGGGAGAGGGAAAGGGAGAAAGAATTAGCAAAGCACATTTATCCTAAGATATTTAGGGTAGTGAAACTACTCTGTATTATAGTGGTACATGTATGTCATCAAACATTGGTCAAAATTTATAGCATACTTACAACATCAAGAGTTAGCCCTAATATAAATGATGGACTTTTCGGTAACTAGGATATATCGGTGTGGATTTATTGATGGCAACTGTTGATTGTGGCAGAGGTTGTGCACATACAGACAAAGGGCAAATGGAAAACACACTTTCCATGCAATTTTTCCATGGACTAAAGCTTCCCTAAAAATCAGTCCATTAAAAAATAATGAAGGCTGGGAGATGGCTCAGTTGGTAAACCACTTTCCTTGCAAGTACAAAACCCCAAGTTCAATACCAAGAACCCACATAAGACACTAGTGACAGTGGCGCATGCCTGAGAAGAATCCTAGTAATGGTGAGATGGGAGGCGGAGAGGCAGAAATTTGGAAGCTCAGCAGCCAGCTAGTCCAGTCTACTTGGCAAAATTCTCATGCACCTTGAAATGAAAGAGACTGTCTCAAACAGAAATCCACAACTGGTCAGAATACAGAGAAAAACTGACCGTGGGGTCCCAGCACCAGTTCATTCATCTGCATCACAACCCTTATACCCAAGGCTCAGGAAACATTGCAGAAGAGGGAACAGAAAAACCGTAAGAACCAAAGACCAGGATGCTTGCTGAAAACAGTGTCTTCTAAACATGACCGAAAAGCTCACCTATGAACTCTCAACAATATGCTGCCTGAACAGTATCTGCACATTGACAGTACCAGCTGACATGCCAATTTGGATGGGGGAAAGCTGGGAGAAGTACAATCAGTCTTCTCCAGGGATGAGCTCCCTGATAGGTTATCCAATCCCAACGGGTCATGCCCTCAACACATATGAACAACACTAAATAGAAGGGAGATACACACACATGTGTGTGCACTTAAGTTTGTATATATATAAAACGATAATATTAAATAAGAGGTTATTAATTTGATGGGAGAGTTGGAAGAGGTAGAGGGGAGGATAGAAATGCAGTATTTTCACAATTGTGGGGCTAAAATGGTGGCCTAGTTGTTAAGAGCACTAGCTATTCCTCTAGAAGCCCTAAGTTCAATCAGTTCCCAGCCCTCACATGTGAACCTATAACTGCCTGTAACTCCAGTCTCTCAGGATTCTGATACCTTTTTCTAGGCTCCATAGGCACTAGGCACAGGCAGACAGACATACACACAGGCAAAATATCCCCCCAAAAATACCTAATAAAATGTCAAGTAAAAACATTTCAGGGGCTCAGGAGGGTAAACAGCTTGCTGAGCAAGCACAAGGACCTGAGTTTGGCCCCACATAAATAAAAGCCAGAAACGGTAGTGTATTTATAATCCCAGTGCTGGTAGATAGGGAAGACAACTGAATACTGGGGCTCCTATTACATACACACAGAACAATGACAGATAAAATACAAAAATATAAAGCCAGGTTCAAAACAAACATCTCTATATACCAGAAACAGAAGTTCTAAGTGGCGTGCAAGGCCAAGCGTGCTGGTCTCAAAGCAGACAGACTATGAAGTGACAGTGCTCCATGAAAGATCTGAGACAGAAGCCAGACTTGGGCATATTCACCAGGGTTACTGGTGCAAAAACCTTGGCACTTCCATAGGTTGTACAAAGGGTTACATCTTCCTCTTTTGTGAATACATACTACAAAGGTACAATAGGTCATTCACCTCTTTATTTGAAGAGCACTTAATAGTTTGACAGTTTCTAGAAGAAGAAAGCTCATCTATATCCCGAGTCAAGAAAAGGAGTTTCTGACCCATTGAGTCCAGGCAGTCTAAAACACTGTAAAGAAGTAAAAGAGATTAAAATAAGAATAGTCATTTTTAGGCTATGACTTGCTAGTTAATTTTTGTGCCTATAATGCTGTCCAATATAGTAGTCACTAGCAACATTTAGCTATATAAATTTAATTAAAATTAAATTAAAAGCCCAGTTAATCAACTGCATTAGTCATATGTGATTAGTACTTCCCATATTCTCCAGAGTATTTTCATCATTGCAGAAAATCAAGTTAGATGGTGTTACCGTAACAGGGGGGGAAATGAACAAGAAGTATACCTAAAGCTATCTGTCAAGACTTAAGCCACAGTCCTAAGTACCTGACACACTCATTATGGTCAGAAATCAAACCCTTTTTGAGTGTGTGTGTGAGTGTGTGTATGTTTCTCCAATCTACATTAAAGGCTACAAGCTGAGTTTTCTAACTTCAAAATACCAACGAGTCTAGCATTCTCTTCTCCCCTCCCCTTCCCTCAAGATAAAGAGTCTCTCAGCATAACCCTGGCTGTCCTGGAACTCGCCCCATAGACCAGGCTGGCTGCTAACTCACAGAGACCTATCTGCCTCTGCCTCCTGAATACTAGCATTAAAGAATCTAGCATCTCTTCTAATAATCCTTAGTCCAAAACAATGTGTTTTTTTTAATGAAAAATATCGTTTTAGACATTGGTCATATTCAGAAAATTAGGAAATACATCCTTTATTTTCCTTTGCTCTTATTTGAAATGGAAACCCACCTCATATTTGGGTGCTTAGTAGCTGCTCCCTGGTTTCCTGATGCTTGACTAGCTGCTCTCAGTCTTTATGATTAGCTAGTGCTTCCAGACTGAGCTCTGCAATCTATAAGAAAATAAAGTGGTAAAAGTTTTTGTACAGATTTGAGGTGAAAAACATCCACTGAAGTGACATTCTGTTTCTCTGGAACTGTGATTGTGCCACTGCCTCAGGCACAAGCTAGCACCAGTAGTATCAGATGGTTTATGACTGCTTAGCCAAGAACAGCAATCTGTCCCCAGCTACTAATGTCACATGAACAAGCTTTAAAAGAGTGGAGTGAGGCTGAGTAGAAAAGTGATGAAAATTTTGGCTCATCATTCCTTACTTAGCCCTTTAAAATATATTTCTCTGAAAACCTGTAACTTTTAGAAATGAAAAATAATGACTTTTACTGCAACATCAAAAAAGTCAGTATATTAATACAAAACTGTCAAAAGTCTAATTGATTTTTTTTTCTTCTTCATAAAGTGGGAGTCTACTTGGGAAGTGAGATACATTTTTTTTAAACAACCTATCTTGGGGTTCAACAGATGGCTCAGTGGTAAACAGCACTTGTTGCTCTTACAGAGAACCTGGGTTCAGTTCTTAGCACCTACATGGTACCTCATAACCATCTGTAACTCCACTTCCAGGGAATCCCATCCCCTTTTCTAGCCTACATCAGCACCAGGCATGCACATGGTGCACACACATCCATGCAGGCAAAAAACACTCACACACATAAAATAAATAAATCTCAATGATAAAACAAACCAAACCAGCAACCTATTTTAGAGTCTCCCTGGGTCCCACCATTCCCAGAGGAGCCACTCCTGAGCTCCTCTATGAGAACATGTGTCCTAGTAAAGTCTGTTAAAAAATCATAACCATTCTTAAAGAGTGAATGTGGTGATATTTTTATTTGTGCACCCCAATAAAGCTTATCTGAGGATTAGAGGAAAAAGCCAGCCACTATATTAAACATAGAGGTCAGGCAGTGATAGCACATGCTCTTAATCCTAGCATTCGGGAGGCAGAGATTCATCTGGATCTCTGTGAGTTCAAGGCCACACTGGGAACAGAGCCAGGTGCGGTAGCAAAAGCCTTTAATTCCCAGCACTAGTTAACCATAGAGATCTGGAGGTCTGTACAGACAGACAGGAAGTGATAAAGCTGGGCGGAAAGGAAATAAGAGGGCAAGGACAGAAAGGCATATAGGTGTGGGTATACAATAAGTAGCTCTCTCTGTAGGCTGAGGAATTGGTAAGGTGAGATTGCTGTGGCTTGTCCTTTTCCTCTGATCTCTCAGTTTTCACCCCAGTATCTGGCTCTGGGTTTGTTTGTTTGTTTGTTTTAAAATAAGATCTTTTAAGATTCGTGATACAAGTGAAGGGGGTGCAATTCAGTCAGGTGTCCCAAGAGGAGCTGGCACATTGAGAGGCAGAGGCAGTTTCACCATGAACAGTAGGTAGGTCATGGATTGATGGCTCTGGGAAGAACTTATCCTGATTTCAATTGTAGAAGCAAGTGATGAGAATACTGGGCAGCAGGGAAGAGTTGGCAAAAGCTGAACCTGGTTTTTGTAAAGCCATCAGCATAGGTCAGTGCCTCAGCAGCCTACAGACAACTCCAGAGGGATAAAAGGTCTAAAACTCAAGAACTCTACAACACTCATCATTCCCCTACCACTGCTATTGTCCCACAGATCAAAGGACCCACCAAGACCTCAGGAAGAGTGCAGGGCAGAACTTGGAACACAACGCAGCACCTGGATCAGAGCAGCCGACCCCAGGCAGCAGACTGTGGAGACAGCAGTAGTGCAGAGTCTGAAGCTGAGAGACTCTCCGTCACCTCCACCTTGGACAGAGCAGTAAGGAACGATATGGATCCGGGAAATTTTGTGACAGAACCTCGTACAATATCCTCACAGACAACTAAGACTCCAAGCAGACCACCAGACATTGGAAGGATTATACAGCGGTGACCAGAACTGACAACCCCAAAGTTAAAAGAACACACAGAGGTATTACTAGCATTTGCGTTTCCACTTGTGAAGTACTGCCTACAGACAGAGCCAGCACCTGTAATTCAACTATCTAAAGAAAGATCCAGGGCTGGAGAGATGGCTCAGTGGTTAAGAGCACTGGCTGTTCTTGCAGAGGTCCTGAGTTCAATTCCTAGCAACCACATGGTGGCTCATAACCATCTGTAATGAGATCTGGCGCCCTCCTCTGGCCTGCAGAATAAAGAAAGAAAGAGAAAGAGAGAGAGAG